GACTTTGTTCTGCCTTGCTGCTTAATTAAAAAACTAGTTTAAGGTGTCCTGCACATGTGATATATATTTTTCCCTATATGAAGTTATTCTTTTTTGAACAAAACTCAAAACAGAGCAATTTAATCTTTCAGTCATTTCTACCCCCCCCTCCAAAAAAAAAAAATCCCACATGCATACTACTCTTTGGGCTAAGCCCCGGGTGTTTCAAATGTCTGGCTCCGCCTCTGAACTGAACGTTTACTTAAAGAGCTCCTTTTAGAAATGCACGCTTTCAGAGTGGGCCCCCTGCTGGGCATTGGGAAGAATGCAGGTTTTACTGTCCACACACTGACAGCTATAAATAATAAAGCAATATGAGCTACAGGTGACTGGAATTAATCCCATTTCTCCTTCCACTACGAGACCAGCAACATGTGTTTTACCCTGTAAACCAAATGTACTTCTGCCCACATGGAAACTGTGGACGTGGTGCCTCTGTTCATTTGCTGCTGGTGTTATTAACACTGTACCTCAGAGACTTTCATGATCCTCTCAATCTCTGTGTCAGACATCTCAGACAGACACTTGGCCACGCCCACATACAGATCCACTTCATTATCCTGAAACAAATGTACAAAAAAATCAAACACAAACACAAAAATTGTTATTTTTTAGTTAAAATGTGTCATTTAAACAGCTTTGAACCTGTGTTCATGTGTTAAAGAGGCAAAGCTGGATGCCAGCAGGGCCCAGCAGCAGCAGGACGAATAAAAGGCTTTAATTGTTAGACCACACAAAGTCAGGGTTTCAAAACAGACAAAGACTGATTGAAGGAGATCAGCTGGTTTCACAGAAAGGTGAACAGAGCAGGCTAGCAGGTTCAGCTATTAGCAGCTGTTAAACTCAGGGAGCCAATGGTAGGCGACACACCAGCGCACATATATCATCAACTAACTTATTCCAGCCATTCAAAAGCTGAAATGTAGCCACACTAGCATCAAGTAGCATGAAACACGACCACTGTGCTGTTCTTCAGACTGAGGAGATTAATGCTGCTCAACGTGAAGACTACAGAGGATCTGGACAAAGGCTAAAATGAGTGTAACTGCCCGTGGTCCTCACACAACTATTTGACTGTTTTCCTGTTT